CCCTGGGTCCCCCTTTTCTTAGGTCTGGAGGAAGCACTGCAAAATCCTTACCCACGACAGAGTAAGAAAAAACAATCCTTGTCCCTGCAGGTGGGGCCCAGTGAGGGCCTGATGGGACCCTCTGAGCACACAGGGTTTAGGAACGCTCATCACCTCCGTGGGGCCCTGGGGGAAACTGAGGCGGGGGCGGAGGGCCTTTGCGTAGCCATTTTTTATGGCGGTCACAGCAGGCGTTCTGGGGCAGTGGGTGGCCTGGGTGGGCCTGGGTGCAGGAGTAGCCCTGCCCTCTGGGCCAGGCCTGACAGCCTCGGGCCGGCCTCAGGGGGCTTTGCCAAATCAAATCCAGCTGTGCCCAGCTCCTTCCGGGGGTGATTCTGGGGAGAGCCCGTCCTAGAACAAAGGGGTCCTGCTGACAATGGGGTCCCCGCGGTCCCCTCAGGCCCTGAGCTCCAGCCCAGGCACGCCCTCTCCCTCCGGGGGAATGGGAGGCTGTGGCCAGCACTTTGCACCCGCTGGATTTGTTCTTTTGGGGTTTGGGAGGCCACCCCCAGCAGCACTGCTCAGAAGTGACCCCTGACCTACTCGGGGTGGGGTGGACCAAGTGGGGCACCTTCCCCGCTGACCTGGCCCCGGCCCCGGCCTCAGCCTTGCAGACAGACGGACGGAATTGGAATTGAAATCGGTGAGCTGGGGCGCAGCCGTGACCCCACGGCAGTGCCTGCCCCGCCCCCTGCTGGACACTGCGGGCTGCTAGAGAGACTCACCACCAGGACCCGGCTGAAGGGACAGGACACAGGGCATCACGCACCCACTCTCCAGAAGCTGAGGGGAGACAGAGCCTTTTGCGGGGGGCTGTCCCAGAAGTCCTGAACTCGCTGCCCGGTGGTCTGCGCAGGGGCTCTGACCGGCTGAAAGGGGACCTTAGGGTCAGGCGTGCTCCTGCCGTGGGGGGACAGCTAGCCGAGGTCTCAGCCTGCAGGAGCGGGCTGGTGTGTGCCCGGAGGCGCTGGGTCTGGCACTTGGCAGACGGGGGCTCAGAGGCACCGAGTGGCGGGGGATTGTCCGAGGGACAAGCTGGGAGCTGGAGGCCCAGCCCAGGGAGGAAGCTGGGGTCCTCGCCGCCCGTGCCCCCACCCCTGCCGCCCTGCAGCCTGAGACCTGCTCTCCTGGTGGCGCCCATCTGACTGGCCTGAGACGGTCACCGCGGGGACTCCCTGGAACCTTCCAGAACAAGCCAGAAGGACACCGGGGGGAAAGCGAGGCCTGTGTCCGGGGGCTGGAGCGATAGCACAGTGGTAGGGCGTTTGCCTTGTGCGCAGCCAACCCGGCCAAGCTGGGTTCGATTCCTCCGCCCCTCTCGGAGAGCCCGGCAAGCTACCGAGATCTACCGAGAGTATCTCGCCTGCACGGCAAAGCCTGGCAAGCTCCCCGCGAGTGTTTGGTATATTTGATATGCCAAACCAAACACAGTAACAAGTCTCATGATGGAGGCGTTCCTGGACCCGCTCGAGCAAATCGATGAACAACGGGAGGACAGTGTTGTTGTTGTGTTGCCTGGGGCACATCTCAGGAGCAGCTCCCCACACAGACGCGGCTGCGGGCTACGGTCTGGGCCAGGGTGCAGTGGCCGGGGCAGCCTCTGTGAAGATGCGGGCTCCTGGACGTCCCCAGTTCAAGGCGTTCGTCAGTCCATCCAACCTGAGCATGGGCCTGCCTCCTGCTCCCGCACTTCCACTCTCCTACCTGCAGGGGTCGCTGTGGTGGGGCCTTGCCAGGTCCCTCGGGGCACTGTCCTGGCCACCTCAGCCCTGGCCCAGGCTGGGCTCAGTACTGCCCCTTTCCTCACCACCAGGGAGCAGGACGCCGGGGGCAGAGCCGAGGACATGCGGGGGACACGGGCCTCTGTCCACGGACATGGGCCCCGGCTGGCCCCACTGTCTGCGTTCCTGGGACGGGCCCCACCCCTGCTCCCCTAAGACCCTCCTGGATCGGGGTATGTGGTTCGAATCCTCGTCCACATCTGCTGGGAAAGTGACCCCAAAGTCACTCTACAGCCCAGATTCCCGGGGTCGAGCCTTGCACTCTCCTTCCTGGCCGTGGGCCTCCAGGCCTCCAGACGGCTGGGAAGGAAGCCCTGGGTGGGACGCGCTAAGGGGTCACCCCGGCGGTGGTCAGGGCTGGAGCACTGCCTGACGGCCCGCAGCAGGCCGGCCTGAACCAGCCCCGGTGCCTCTCTCTTGCCGGGCTCCTCCGGCAGCGGCAGACCTGGCCCCAGGTCTGGCGCAGGGACCCCGGCCCTGCCTCTCTCCGGGAAGCTCGGTCTGCTGTGCAGAATGAATGTCTCGTGACTCAGGCCAGCCCTGACCCCAGGGGCCCTGGGGGGGCACGGAGACGCCTCGCCTGTTTGTCTCCACGGGGGCACAAGTGACTTTTCTTGGAGAAAAGCACATAGCCCAAGGGGCCTGGACAGCGAGAGGACACGGGACAGCGGCTGTCCACATCCTGGGCGCTGCCGCCCACCCACGTGAGCCCCCCCGCACACCCCAGCCTGTCCCCACACAGATGCTGGAGCCCAGGGACTGCCCGTCCACCCGGCTGCAGAGAGACCCCTGTACGAGAGCCTCCGTGCCTCTGGCATGTCACAGATGTGTACACACGTGTGCTCGTGGGTGCTCACAGACACACATGCACACACAGCTCCTGCATGTAGGCGTTCGTGTGTGGCCACGCTGGGCCCGGTGGGTCCGAGAGACCCGCCTGCTCTGTGGGAGCTTCTGGGAGCATGGGGGGAGGACTGCGGGTCAGGGGTGGGATGGACAGGGAATGTGCCCCGACTGCAGGGGGTGGGGGTGGGGTGTCCCGGGCTCCTGCAGGGCAGGGTGGGGAGAGGCTACTGCTTCTGGACTGCCTGGGGGTGGAAAAATCCGAAGAGGAAACAATATTGCCATGGAGCTGCAACTTCACCCACGCCCCCTCCCAGGGAGCGCCCCTCCGGGAGTGGCTACCAGGGTGTGGGGGGAGTCCACAGGCCAGCCCCACCTGCTCTCCCTCAGCCTGGGGGGGGAGTGGGGGTGGGGGGGTGATGGGGGATGCGCCTTTCCCTGGGGCCTCAGCACCCTGGCCTGCTGGGGGACGCCAGTGGCACAGGCCACGGTGCGGGGTCCTTCTGGACCCTCTGCGGCAGACCCTGAACAAGGCCCTGGCAGCAGGGTGGGGGTGGGGGTCCCTGCCCGCCCCCAGAGCCCTGCTGAGGCTGTGTCCCCAGCACCCGTCACTTCTGTGTCACGCCCGTCAGACCCCATCTGGCCACAGTGCAAAGCTGGATGCCAGCCCTGCGGGAGGACTGGCCACCCTGAGTTCTTGCTGTATCCTGCGGGTCTGCTGGACACCCCCCCCTGCTTTCCCCCCCCCGGGCCGCTCCCCCCCTCCGGGCTTCTAACCCTTGGCGTCTCCGCTCTAGTGTGAAAGGTCACTGGCAGCACCTGACCCTACCCGGGACTCTGCTGTGACCTCCCGGGCATCCTTGCCCCTCTGCAGCCCAGGATCAGGGACACCTGGAGCCAAGCCCTGCCCCCTCACTGCAGCCCCACCTGTGGCCAACTCAGCGGGGGCCCTCTGGTCCCAGGGGGCCCGGACCCCTCCTCTCCTTGGGTGGGAGCCTGCCGGGCGCCACGGCCGCCAGGGGGCGCTCAGGGGAGCCCTGCCTGCTAGGGTCTGTCCCAGCAGGGGCTGGTCAGCCAGGGCCAGTCCCTCAGACTGAGGGGGGCGTCCATCTAAGGTTCGAAGGAAACTTGGTGCCCTCTGGCGAGCCGGACCCTGGGGATTCCTCCTCCCTGGCCCAAGGCCGTCCTGGAGTGGGCGGGCAGCCAGGGTCAGAGGGCGCTCCTGGGTCTAGCCTGTCTCCCTCCTCTTCCTCGGAGATCCTTCAGCACCTGGACAGCTGCCCGGACACCATGGACCAACGGGGAGACGTGAAGCCCAGTGGGTGGCGCCTCCTTCCCGGACACAGAGCTGGGGGTGTGGGCGGGGCTGGTAGGTCCTGAGTGTCCAGGAGGCAGCTTTGACCATGACCTGAGAGGAGGCACCCTGGGCTCACTTAGCACAGGCTGGCAGCAGGCGAGGGGCCCCAGCAGCCCGGACCCCGGGGACCGCAGTGACACAGCCCTGCTCGGAGGCTCCCTGAGCACCTGGGGGTCTGCAGGGGTGACATCAGAGACACATGAACACACGTGCACAGACGTGTGCCAGCACTCAGACGACATGGGCGCCCGCAGACACCCGCTGGTCTTGCTGACTGCCAGGCGCTGGGCTGAGGGCCAGGGGCATCTCCGCCATGGTCACGCTCGGCCACGTGTGGCACAGCTGCACGGAGCCCATTTTGTGTGTCCTGGGACTGTGGGCTGGCGGCGAACGCTCAGGGGTGGTCTCCTTCGAGTGTTCACTCACGGTCCTCCATATGCGAGCGCTCACGCCTCTGTGTGCTAAGTCCTGCCCAGGCCCTGTGGATGTGGCTGGAGCATCCCTGACCGCATACTTGGGAGCCCCAGCCCCGGTCCCTACTGAAGACGCAGTGATGCGGGTGCCTGGGACGGCTCCGGAGGGGCAGCCGTGGGGGCTCCTCCTAGCTCCCCTCCGACCACTCCCTTTGCTGGGCACTTTAATGAGAGTAGACGAAGGTGGGGCTCCCCATGGGGCCAGAGACTCCTCAGTTTGGTTCAGTCTGGTTCAGTCTTGCTGCAGCCTGGGCAGGAAGCTCTCCGGTTCGCGGGCTTGGGCTTGGGCTGCGTCACTTCAGACGAGCGAGGAGTCCTTCCACGGAACAAGGGCAAGTACCCTGGAGGCTTCTGGTCGTGTGTGTCCCTGCCACGGTCCTGGCCCCCCACATGCCAGCCAGCCACTCCACCTCCAGAGGAAGCCCCACCACTCCCAAATCGGCCACAATCCCAGCTTTGAAACGAAATCCCTATTTTTAAAAAAAAGCTACAGAAAGCTCGAATTTATTCAGTGGGACCGGTCGGGCTCTCAATAGCCCCCGGGGGGGCGCGGCCTGCCCCGCCCCCCACAAGGGAGGGTCTCCATCACCCCCCCCCCCACCAAATCCAAAGAAACCAGAAACATCTCGATGGCAGAATACAAAACGGTAAACTGGTCGTGAAAGTCACACACTTCCGCACCCTCCAGAGCTGGAGGGCTTTGGGGACCGGGCCCGGGTGCCGGGCGCTGAAATGAAGAACCTCGTGCTAACGGGTCACAAAAATAAATATCTGGAGAGTCCAAGGCTCAGGGTGGTTCTCGGTACATTGCACTTGAAGCGAGGAGCCTGCGGCCACTGGCCACGCTGTGTGCGGGGGCGGGCCCGGAGGTCAGGGGGCCCCACGGCCATGTGGGGACACGCCTCTCCACTGGCAATCAAGAGATTGCAGGTCCCGCAGGGCTGCAAGCCCGGGGCCAGCCGAGCGGCCAGGCTGGGGCACCGTGGAGTCCTCCTGCCCTACCCGCGCGATTGTCTGCACCGGCTCCTGGCAGTGGGTCCCAGGCAGGAGCACGGCCCGTCCCAGAACCTTCTCTATCGACTGAAGCACCACCGGCGTCCCCCGTGGGCTCTGATGAGAGGCCAAAGGCCGGTGAGCCGAGTCAGCCTACGGCTCTCAAGTATGGCAACGGGCTCCGCGGCAAACGGCGGGTCCTCGAGAAGCAGCGGCGGCCGGGCGAGCCCCGTCGGCCCACGGGCGGTCTGCGGGGAGACCCTCTCGTGGCAGGGTCCAGAGGCGCCCTGGGTGGGCGGCAGGGGTCAGTCACTGTGCGGCTTCTCGGGGCTACCCTGGGGGGCAGGAGAGGACAAGGGCGTGAGCCGCACCAGCCAGGAGCCCGTCTCAGCACCTCGGGGTGTGCTCGAGGACCCTTCGGGGGCAGGGGTCATGCGCAGGCTGGCCAAGTGCACGGCCAGTGCTTTCCCGGCTGGTCATCTCTCCGGCCGGTCACTCATGCTCTGCTGCTGGGGGGTGAGGGGGCGGGTGTGAGGACAGCAGACCCATGTTCCACAGCGGGGCCGGGGGCAGCTGTGGCCCCTAGTCCCCATGGTTCCACCACCCCCAGAATGTCCCATGTGTGCAGGGGCCAACAGGGTGGTCCAGACGTGCCTGTCGCCGCCACAAACCCGGGCGCTGGACACTTCCATGCACAGCAGTGCCCAGGGCCAGGGCCAGAGAGGGAGGGCGGGATCGAGAGCCCGGGACTGCGGGGGTGGCACCCTCCGTGGGTCTCTGCTCCCTGGCCGGGCATCAGGGTCCTGTCCTGCGGGGCCAGGCAGGCCCCAAGCGCCAGCTCCTCCCCGCTGGGCACCACCCCCAGGCCTTCTGGAGCTGGCCAGGGGACACCCGCCCGGGCTCTGGCCGAGAGGCGGGGTCAGCCCACCTGGGCAGGCGTCCCCCGACGGAGGCAAACGGGAGCCCAGGGAGGGGGATCGGTGGTGGGAAAGAGTCCCCCGGCCTGCCGAGGGGGCACAGACCCCACTTTCCGATCAGGCAAAGTGGGCACTGGCGCGCACACACGAGGGTCAGAGGGGCGCGGACACTCACCATGGCCAGCTGGCGCCCGATGTTGCCCACCGTCACGCCCCCCGAAAAGAAGATGCAAGGCAGCCAGGAGCGGATGTACAGGAAGTCTGGGGACGTGTACCTGTGGGACAGGGGGAGCTCAGCGCCCGCCGCCCCCGGGTGTGGCTCTGGGCGTGCACGGGGCCACTGTCCCCTCGGCCAGGGCTGAGCCTCCAGCAGGTGACAGCCACGCGGGGGGAGGGGCTGGGGCAGCACTTACTGGTACACGCCGTTGTACACCAGCAGCTGCGTGATGAGTGTGGCCAGGAAGGCAATGGTGATCCCGAGGCCGAGGCCACTCCGGGAACGGTCAAATGTCCACCAGAGGCCCAGGGACAGGGCTGCCAGGGTCAGCGAGAGCTGCACGTTGTTGGCAAAATCCAACTTCTGGAGGCAAGAGGTTAAGGAGAAGACGAAGTGATGGGCAGAGGCAGAGCCCCAGCTGCAGGGGCGGGGAGGCACTGGGCCTGACCCCCCGGGCCCCCCGCAGCCCAGATGGTCCTCTGGGCCCTCCGGGGGACACCCCTGGGCACAGCCAGGTGTGGCCCAAAGTCCAAAGGGGGGAAACATCCCTGTGCAGGAAAACCCAAGGCCTGGAGGAGCGCCCGCTACACCGGGGGCCGGGCCTTCCCGCGGGAGGACACAGCCCACAGCCCTCCCCCCCCCCACCCCCCGTCCCTCCCTGTCCCTGTCCCGGGACTTCAGGCAGCGGGGCGGCCAGCGGAGGCCACCACACAGGAGCTCAGCCTGGACCCGGGTGCCCGGACGCCCCCCCCCCCCGCCTGAAGGATACGGCGCTGGCGTGGTTGATGCCCACGAACACGGCCACGCAGCGCATGACGCTGGCCCACTCCCGCTTGAACTTGTGCGGCTCACCCAGGTGGCTGTCGATGCAGGGGTACAGCAGGCCCACCACAGCTGCGGGGGGAGGGAGAGGTCAGGAGGGGGGGGCCAGGGCTGCACCCCCCCGAGAGCGGGCTGGGGAGCCCCAGGAGCACGGGGGTGAAGGTTCCCAGAGCCGGCGAGACGTGGAGGCGTGCAGGGCGGGGCCGTGAGGGGTCACCAGGCCAGGCCAGGCCAGGACTCACTTTCGGTTTCCCGGAACCCTCTCGGGGTCCAGGAAACCCGTGGGCCAGGTGGCGCTCAGGGCCACCACTTGAGCCCTAACCCTTTAGGGCCGGGGAGATTCTGGGGGGTGGGGTGGAAGCTTGCCTCGGAGACCCCCGGGGAACCTCAAAGCGGCTCGCGTCTGGCATTGAGTTCTGGGTCAGGGGAACACGGGTGCCGGTGCCCTGGCCGGGACACTTTCCCAAGGACCGGGCACAGACACATGTGCGCGTGGGGCCTGCCTGGAACATAGGCGTGTCCACGTGGGCCCTACCAGCCCCCCAACCTGGGCCTCCTGCTCCGGGCTGAGCGTCCACACGTGGGGACACGCCAGTCACGTGGGGACAGCAAGGGGAGGGAGGGACAGCCGGCAGCGTCCCGCCAACACGACTCACAGATGGAGCAGAGTGGAGCCCCCCGCTCCCACATGGACCTGGGCAGAGGGGGGTCCCCTGGCTCCCACCGTCCTGGGCAGAGAGGGGGGTCCCCCCTGCTGACCCGGAGGGGAAACTGGGGTCTCCAGGGCTGGCCCAGAGTGGATGGCGGGGTTCCCTGGCTGACCCACAGTGGACAGTGGGGTTGCCCCTGCTGACCCGGAGCATACAGTGGGGTCCCCTGGCCAAACCTGAGCGGACAGGGGGTCCCCTGGTTGGCCTGGAGGGGTTAGGGTTCCCCCAGCTGACCCCGAGCGGACAGGTGTTCCCCCGGCTGACCCCAAGTGGACAGGGGGTTCCCCAGCTGACCCCAAGCGAACGGGGGTCCCCCGGGCGACCCAGAGCGGATAGAGGGTCCCCCAGCTGACCCCGAGCGGACGGGGGATCCCCCAGCTGACCCCGAGCGGACGGGGGTCCCCCAGCTGACCCCGAGCGGACGGGGGATCCCCCAGCTGACCCCGAGCGGACGGGGGATCCCCCAGCTGACCCCGAGCGGACGGGGGATCCCCCAGCTGACCCCGCGCGGACAGGAAAGCCCCCCGGCCGAACCCGCGCGGACGGGGGTCCCCCAGCTGACCCCGAGCGGACGGGGGATCCCCCAGCTGACCCCGAGCAGACGGGAGGGTCCCTCCAGCTGACCCCGAGCGGACGGGGGACCCCCCAGCTGACCCCCAGCGGACAGGAAAGCCCCCGGCCGAGCCCGCGCGGACGGGGGTCCCCCGGCCGGCGCGGCGGCGCCGCCCCCCCGCGCCCACGTGACCGCCCGCCCCGGGCCCGCGGACGCGCGGACACTCACCCGCGGCCGTGCCGCAGCAGGGCGGCACCCACCAGGCCGAGGCGAGGACGGCGGCCAGCGGCTCGTCGGGGAAGAGCGTGACGGAGCGCTGCACCTGCAGCAGGTTCAGCACGAGCGCCAGCAGCGCGCCCACCGAGAAGAGCACCAGGCCGCGCTGCAGCACGCGCGGCGGCCCCCGCGGCGGGGGTCGCGGGCGCCCCGGGGCCGGCTCGGGCGCGGCCACCGACTGGGCCAGCACCTCCCCGACGCGCGCGGCCAGCGCGGCGCCCGGCGCACGGGCGCGGGCCCGGCGCGGCTCGTCCAGCCGGGGCATCGGGCGGGGGCGCGGGGCGGGCGCGGGGCCGGGCGGGGGCAGCAGGACCGCCTGCAGGGGCCCGCGGCGGCCGGCGCGCGCGCGGCTTATAAGGCGCGCGCGGGGGCGCGTCACGTGACGGAGGCCCCGCCCCGGGGCGTGGCCCGCGCGCGCCCCGCCCCGCCCGCGCGCCCCGGCGCCCGCGGTCTGGTGAGGCGGCGGCGGCCAATGGGGGGCCGGCGGCCCATATGACGTCAGCACACGCCACCGCCGCTCGCGCGCACCGGCGCTCGGACGCCGCGGCCGCCGCCGGCCCTGCCCGCTCGGGCGCGCGGGCCCCTCCGCGGAGAGCCGGCCCCCTCCCCGAGCAGCCCCCCACCTGCCCGCGCAGACCCCGCCCCCTCCCCGAGCAGCCCCCCACCTGCCCGCGCAGACCCCGCCCCCTCCCCGAGCAGCCCCCCACCTGCCCGCGCAGACCCCCACCTGCCTGTGCAGACCCCCACCTGCTTGTGCAATCCCCCGCCCCCCCGTGCAGACCCCCACCTGCCCGTGCAGACCCCCACCTGCCCGCGCAGACCCCGCCCCCTCCCCGAGCAGCCCCCCACCTGCCCGCGCAGACCCCGCCCCCTCCCCGAGCAGCCCCCCCACCTGCCCGTGCAGACCCCCACCTGCCCGTGCAATCCCCCGCCCCCCCCCGTGCAGACCCCCACGTCCCCGTGCAGACCCCCACCCCCCAGCAGACAGACCTCTATCTGCCCGTGCAGACCCCCACCTGCCCGTGCAATTCCCCCGCCCCCCCCCCCGTGCAGACCCCCACGTCCCCGTGCAGACCCCCACCCCCCAGCAGACAGACCTCCATCTGCCCGTGCCGACCCCCACCTGCCCGTGCAGACCCCCACCTGCCCGTGCAATTCCACCCCCCCAACCCCCCCCCCTGCAGACCCCCGCGCCCCCCCACCCCTGCAGCCCTGCGTGCCCACGCCCTCCGCCCGGCCCCCCCCCCCCCCCCCCCCCCGTGCTCACCTGATCCGCGCCCTTGACCCGCCCGTGTGGCTGGCGGGGATGCCCGGCGCTCCAGCGTGGCAGGCGCCTCTGGACTGCGCCGGGAAAGGCCAGCCGCGAAGGAACAGCTGGCACCCTCCCGGGATCCTCGCGGCTAGGCCGGCACAAGCCCCCAGGGAGGAAAGGGACGAGAGTGGGTGGGCCACGAGGCCCCTGCTGCCCCCTGCCCTGGGGCAGAGGCGACCTGCTGTGGGGGGGGCCGGGCTGCCAGATCTGAACTCCTCCCAGTCCCCCGTGGGTCGGTGCCAGGACAGCGGTCAGTTGGCAAATCCCCTGTCCCGGACTCGAGCAGAGACCCCCGCAGGTGGCGCACTCCCAAGGCCAGCCCCTTGGTGGCCGGCTGCCAGCTGCAGTAGCCCCTGGGTGCCAGGCTGGGCCCTCATCACCTCATTCCCTGCCCTGCCGGACTTTGGAACTGGGGCGCCCGGGGGTAGGGGGTACACTCTCTCTGCGTGGGGCACGAACATCCCAGTCACCCCCAAATGAACCGGCTCAGGACAAAGACCCCCGAGCCCCTTTGTGGTGCCCGCCCCAGGAAGTCTGTTCTCTTCTGGTGCCTCCCAATTGCCCCTCAGACCCTAAGGGTTTGCAGGAGCGCCCTGGGGAGGCCCGGCTTAGAGGTGGCCGGGATGGGCGGCCACTCTCTGACCCGGAAGCCTCTAGCACAGTGGCTGCGAAGGACGGGCACCTTCAGTTTGGGGCTTTGTGCTACGCCGGTGGCTCGGCGCTACTCCTGGCGCAGTGCCCAGGGGCCACCCTCGGCAGCTTGGGGACCATCTGAGTGCCCGGATGTGAGCCTAGCCGCGGTGAGCGTGGCATGTGCCCCTCACTGGCTCGTCCCTCCAGCCTCACTGCGCCTTCTTCCCAGGCCGGCCAGCCCTCAGACTGACTCCTCTGCCCTGGCCTGCCTCGCCCCGCCCCGCCCCTGTGCTCTGTGCCCCACGGTCAGCAGCCGGCCTCACCCAGCCCCGCACTGCCCGGGTCTGCAGTCACCCTGCACGGGCAGCGCCCGGCCAGCCCCACCCGCCCCGGGGGCTGCGGTGTCAGGCAGGTGAAGGCAGTGGGTCCGACCAGGACCACCAGACACAACCAGGGGCCTCCGCGGGCAGGACTCCAAGGGCCAGCCTCAGAGCCTTGGGGCCACAGAACCCACAGGGCAGGCTTGCGTGAGAGACCGTGTGCAGGGGAAAGGAGTGGCGGGGTCTTGGGAAGCCTTTCGACTGGGCGCAGGTGTCCGCTCTTCGCGGGCTCCTGGACCTCGAGGGCCGGTACGGCAGGTGAGGGGACTCAGGAACCGGCGGCATCCGAGAGGCCCTGGGCCCTCTCCTCGGTCCCCCTCATCTGTTCTCTTCAGGCCTCCGCGCCCTGCTTTGGGTCAGGGTCCGGCTTTGCTTTTTTTATTTTCCAGTTTTATTTTATTTTATTTTTGCTTTTTGGGTCACACCCGGTACTCAGGGGTTCCTCCTGGCTCTGCATTCAGGAATCACTCCTGGCGGTGCTCGGGGGACCATACGGGATGCTGGGAATCGAACCCGGCTCAGTGCGTGCAAGGCCAACGCCCTCCCCGCTCTGCTCTCGCTCCAGCCCCTCCAGTTTTATTTTAGCCGCCGTGATCCACAGCTCTCCGCCCCGGCAGTGTTGGATTCGTGCACGCACCCAGCGGTGCCCCCAGCCCAAGACCCCTTTGCTGCGTGCGGTCCTGTCTCAGCCATGCCACCCCCCCTCCCCACCCGCCCCATCCCTGACCATCACTCCCGGTGCAGTTCTTCAGCCCAGATAATCGAGGCTTGCCGGGTTGACTGTGCTGCATTCCAGGTCCCGGAGGGGGGGGGGTAGGGATGGGAACTGGCCGCACCTGGTTTGTCCAGGCCTCTCCGTGGCGCTGTCCCCCTGCTGGACTGGGCCCTTGCACCGCCAGCCTGGGCACTGTGAGGTCCGACGGGGAAGGACGCGGCCTGGGAGGGAGTGGGGACAGTGTCGGGCTCAGGGCACTGCCCAGGAGCATCTGGTCACAGTTCCGGCCCTTGCGTCTCCCCTGCATGGGGCTGATCCGGTGGCCCGGGGTCCTTGATTCTCCGCATCACCAGGGGTCTCTGGCTACATCATTAGGCTCCTGTGAGCCACAGACGGGGCCACCCCTGCTGAGGTGCGGCTGGAGGGGGCGGGTGCTGCCACCCGGGAGAGGCGTGCGTAGCACTGCGGAGGAACACAGTCCCAGGGAGCACGGGCATGCCGCGCCCCTCCCCCACGCAGGCGCCAGGGGCCACCCCCATCCCCACTCCCCCGGCACTGGGCTGTGGTTCCCGCACACCCCCAGGCCAAAGGGAGGGACTGGATAGGGGCATGACCCGAGGCTGGGCTGTCCCCTCCCGGGAGGCCACCGGGCCTGTGGGCAGCAGAAACCGCCCAGCAAGTGACACCCGGAGTCCCGTGTGCCCGCAGCCGGCCACAGCAGAAAGATGGCGTGGCTCGGTGTGTCAGTGAGGGGAGCACAGCCTGGCTGTGCTCAGGGTGACTCCCGGCTCTGTGCTCGGGCTGACTCCTGGCTCTGTGCTCAGGGCTCACTCCTAACTCTGTGCTCAGAGATGACCTCTAGCTCTATGCTCAGGGATGACTCCCGGCTCTGGGCTCAGGGCTAACTCCCGGCTCTGTGCTCAGGGCTGACTCCCGGCTCTGTGCTCAGGGCTGACTCCAGACTCTGTGCTCAGGGGCTGACTCCTGGCTCTGGGCTCAGGGCCGACTCCCGGCTCTGTGCTCAGGGCTGACTCCCGGCTCTGTGCTCAGGGGTTACTTCTGGCAGGACTCGGGGGACCCTATGGAGTGTCGAGGATTGAACGAGGGTGGCCGTGTGTGAGGCGAGTGTCCCCCAGTGCACTCCTGCTTCTGCCCCTGACGAGGGAAGACGGACTCTGCCCCCTTTACTCCTTTTCTAGGGGCCCAGAAGCGCCACCAGCAGGGCCGTGGGGGCGGGGCAGGGAGCAAGGCCCCTCCCCCCTCCTTGGTCACGTCCCCTGTGGCCCCCAGCCCTGGCCAGGCACCTCTCAAGCCTGGTCTGCCTGTGCCCTTCTCCCTGCCAGAGGCTTCCGGAAATTTCTGGGGGAGAGTGAGCAACTCTGGATGCCTCTGGGGTGGCCACGTCTGACGCCACCCGAGGCGTCGCGGGGCGGCGGTGGCCCCCAGTCAGCACACACTGGCCCAGCCGGCTCACCCCGGCCCAGTAGGTCTCCCTGAGGCCTCAGGCCGAGCGGTCCCCGGGGGGGAGGCCCGAGACCCCTGCAGCGCTGAGTGTGGCCCTGCCTCGGAGCGGCAGGGAGCCGTGAGCGGGGTCCAGAGAACGGAATCTCGAATCTCGGCTTCCAGTGGTTTGTTTTGATGCCACACCCGGCAGTGCCGTGCGCAAGACTTGAACCCGGGCAGCCACGTGCGAGGCCAGACGCCCTGCCCACCTCCCTCTGACTTTGTTTTGTTTTACTGGGGCCACACCCAGCGGCTCTGGGGTCACTCCAGACCGCGAGGGCCCAGGATCGCCTGGAGCAGCTTGTGCTGCTGGGCCGCCTCCAGCTGACAGGCCTCTTAGCAGCTGTAAGGGGCGTTTGGACTTTCAGTGGAATAAGGAAGTGTGGACAGCAGCAGGAAACGGGTCCCTCGGTGGTTTTTTTTTCTGCTTTTTCCGCTCTGGAAAAACTGCGTCTTTCTCAAACACGTATTTCTCTCTTTCTCCTCCCAGTTCTCTAAAAAGGTCAATTTTTTTTATTTTTTTCCTTTTTGGGTCACACTCGGCGATGCTCAGGGGTTACTCTTAGCTCTGCACTCAGGAATTACTCCTGGCGGTGCTCGGGGGACCCTACGGGATGCTGGGAATCGAACCTGGGTCGCCCATGTGCCAGGCAAATGCCCTCCAAGCTGTGCTATCGCTCCAGCCCCCCTGAGGGCAATTTCTTTAAACGAAAACCATTTTGTTTCACTAAAACACAACCAAGCACACAGAAAGCAACGGTGGTTT